TAAAATGCATGAGCAGGTCGGACATAACATAACATAACATCCATTATCCATACCGCTCCTTTGAAAGTCACATGGGGGTTTGCAGCCAATCCCAGTCGACAGTGGGCGAGAGGCGGGGGCCAGTATATATCGCATGGCCGACATACAGAGACAACAACCAATCAGAGTCTCCAGTTAACCTAACCCAACTTAGCTGTGCCACACACCAGCTGGAAGATAAGTGGTTTAAATATTTAGCTGAAGCGGATAACTAAAAAGAGAATTGTTAAAATAGCTAATAGCAGTGGATTAACAATTAAATAAATAGTTAGAAGGTAATGGATGAAATGTCAGAGAGGCTGAGAGTAATGGACGAACAAATGATAGTTAGCTGAAAAGATAAATTGGTTGAAACAGCTGAAATCAATGGAGATGGAAAATAAAACTGAGAGCTCATTTATTTTACTAACACACACACACACACACACACCTACAGACCTTTGATCGACGTGCTGCACCACGTTACTTTATTTATTGTACATTTACACATTTTGTCCATATAATTAAACCCTCATTGTCCAATCATACACTCTCCAATAGGAGCTGGACGTTCCAAACTATTTATCCATTGATTTTAGCGAAAAAAAACAAGCACAATAGTTTTCAGTTGAGTCTGACATCCTGTTGAATTTCTAGACTAATATTTCGTAGACTCAGCTTCGGAGTTTAATTCTTTGTTTACGAGCCTACTATCAAATATCCTTTAATTTATTAATGAATTCCTTTAAAGGTCTGTTTGAAAATGTACAAATGGTGTTTGAATTCATCGGAGAGTGAGTTTCTCCGCCCGACACGAGAGCTTTGAGCCGCTTGCCTTTCTACCCATCTTTCATCTGCTCATCCATCGATTCACTCAGTAGTAGTGAAGCAGCCGAGCAGCGGGACGGCCGTCCAGTCCACCGAGCAGCCAGCAAACCAGGCACCCAGCCACTCATTCACTCCCTCGCTACTATATGGACTGTAGGCCAAATGCTAATCTCTTGATTGAACGCTTGAAGACAAAGGTTATCACCAAACAAATTTAGTTAAAGCAGCGGGGGGGCGAAGATCTTTCCAGCGCCTACAACTGATCTAATCAACAACACGGCTAAGTTGATTATACGACTGCAGGTCTGGAGCGCAGACGATGGTTAGGGAGGAGGAGAGGAGAGGAGAGAGGAGAGAGGGAGAGGGGAGAGGAGAGAGGGGAGACAGGAAGGGTTTTTGGTTTTCAAGGTCCCTTTATTGCTTTTATTATTATTATTATTATTATTGT